ACCGAGGCCAGGCGGATGCTGCAGTGTCTGCTTTGGGGCCCTCGGAAGGACCTCATGGAGCAGCCCCTCAGCCACGAAGAAGCCCTCCGCCAGGTGCTTCAGAACTGGGTGGACATGAAGCGTGCCCTGCTTATGATGAAGTTTGCGGAGAGGGCTGTGGACACGGAGCGGAGCATTGAACTGGAGGACTGGCTGTGCTGCCAGTACTTGGCATCTGCTGAGCCGGCCGCCCTCTCACACACGTTACAGCTGCTGCAGCTGCTCTGACCTTGGATGTGTCTCAGAGGCAGCTGAGGGCTCCCCGTTGCCCTGCGCTAAAGGTACCCAGCCCCTTTATACGCGAGAGGTTTGAGTCTCACCTGCGAATGCACGCTGCGCAGCTCCTGCCCCGCGCTCCCATCAGAGTGCACAAGACTTGTTTAGTACCCTCTGCACTGTTAACTTGCAACCAGGCAAAACTGGGAGCCCACCCCTATTTTAGGGGAGACTTTTTTTTTTTTGATATAGTAAATTTGTGGACTAACAAACTCGTGCGTGCGTGCATGTTTCTAATGAACTCAATGCACTTGAGTTGATTTCTGCGCCTGTGGGACACTCCTTTGATCCCCACTCCCCCTAAAGCAGCAGAGCCTCTTTGGCCGGGAACACCACCGCTCTCCTGAGTGGGCGGCAGGGATGTACGGTTGGCTGCTCCTCCTGGGGCGCAAGAGCAATTCACGTAATGCTACTTTGCAAGGGAGAACCAGGAGGGGCTTACATTCACATCTTTCGAGGGGTTTGGCATCCAATTTGTTTCTTGCTTTTAAAAACAGAAATTACTGCTTGTTTCTGTGTATCAGCTGTATTTTCCACCGTGGGTGATTCAACATCAGCTGACGGTTCCCTTCGTTAGATACTACCACAGCATTGCTTTCCTGGCTAGCGGTGCCGCTGCGCAGGCTGTCGGTTGTGAAAGGGTGAGAGGGAGCACAGGATGGGTCTGTTCCTGAGGATGATGCTGCATGCTGGGAATTACCCCTTGTAAAGTTAATGAAATGGAAAATCCCCAAATCACCTCAGAGGCCTTGGGGGGGAAGTCGGGGCCAGATTGCTTTGCTTTCTTCATCCCTCCAGCTCCCTTCCTTCACCTGGTAATTCACCTATCCCTTTCGTCTGGCATTTGTTTAACCCCTTTATCAAGAGATTAGCTGGCATGTGGAACGCCAGGGCCACTGGCCTGTGGGCTGAAAGGCTCTTATTGCTGTTTGAATTAGAAACGCACAGGTCTGGGTGCACTGCTCCCCCAAGAAACGCGATGCAAGGGCAGCACGATGGAAGAGGGAGAAACTGGCCTGGCTCCTTCCAGCCCCTTTCCCTCCATCCAGACATATAGCAGCCACCAAGTTTGGTGAAAAAGCCATGCTGCTGCTCAGAAAAGATGTTTTTTCCAAAAGGTTGTGGGCTGCTTTTACTCTCTTCCACCTCAACATGAGGCAGAGACAAGGTGCCGTGCTCCTGGCACTGGTTTTGCAGCCCTTGGAGAAGGGGTAGGTTTGAGGCACATGGAGAGAGCTCAGCATGAGACTAGCTGAGCTACCCCGCCTCCCAGCTCAAGTAGGGAGAAATTCATGAGCACTTTCCTCCAGCCTTGATTCACCTCCAGATCCAGCCTGCTTGCCTGGGGCAATTTTAATTCCCCAGTTTTTTTGACACTTCATATGCTTTCTGTGAATCTTTTCCAGGCTTCTCACATGGATATCTTTTTTTTTTTTTTTTTTTTTTTTTAATGTTTGACTATGGTTGCTGCTGATGGGAGGGGATGGTTCCTTGGCTGGGCACCCATTTGCAATGAATTTCCCCTGATCCCCTTAGGGAGGAGGCCATGCACGTCCCTGCCTGCTGAAAGAATGTGGGATGGCTCCATTCGTGGCCGTTGGGGATTCTTTTATACACTGGCTTTCTTGCGTCTGACTCCTGGGGCCACCTCTCTCCAACATAGGTGGCTGGAGCCTTCTGACTTGGGAACCACTGTCCCGTGGACCGTCCTGGACACATCACCCTGGAAAGTCTGTTCCTGGCTTGCTGCTGTGGTCTCACATGGGCCAGCAGAGTCATTAAACTGCTGGAGAACTTGCCTGAAGGAGCCCGGCATGTTTCTCAGAGATAAGATGAAGAGATGACTCAGTTTCTAAGCATGGATGTAGGGAATAAGTCGGAGGAAGCTCTGCAGGACAGCACTGAAGGAGGCAGGGCCTGGCCATGACAAATCCAAGCTGTGCTGGCAACAGGGAGATTATATGTAGGGCAAGTCACTTGTAAGGCTTGGGTTGGGTACTCAGCAGGACTCGAGAAGCAGCCAAACATCCAACCAGCCCCCATAAAATGAGGTTGGATCCATTTTACATGCTAAGTTTCAGTTTAGTGACAAACACTGATACAGATGTTGGCACAGGGCTGGCATGGCATGGGATGTTAACCAGATCAAATCACTTTCCCTGGAGTTTGAGCGTTTAAGACTGCTTTTTGTGTTGGTCCTGGTACCTTGCAGCAGCATGCCCAGCAGACCAGAGGCCAGCAATAAGTCTTGTAGCATTTTCAGCAATATTATTTTGAGATTGGGTGGATGGTGTCTTGCTGTCATACAGAGACTCTTGGCTCCATGCTTTCCTGATACCTTCCCCTATGGTAGCTCATGCTTCTTCTCCAGCCTAAACACTCCTAAGCTTTTGGGTCCTAGGCCAATGCGTGAACTGGAGAAGTGCATTAGGGTTTCTGTTGTGTATCTTTGTGGAGAAAATTACACCTAAGCCTCAGTTGAATGCCGCAGCCAAGTCTGAGCACTCTGCTGGCTTATTCCCCCTTGTCCATGCTGTCCTCAGCACACCATGGACAGTAGCCGTCCTTTTTCTAGCAGGCATTCTTGCCCCTGTGCCCAGGATCCTCTGCAAGAATGGTGAAGGGGATGGATCATCCTTCATCACTGTGTTGCAGGGGACACAGCTGACCCTGTGCCCTGCGGGCCAAGCATGTCACCCACTTGGTGGGAGGCAGGTATTGCAGGAGACATCTACTTGGTAACACAGTTTGGGGTCTGCATGCTACAGGGGTAGTGTTAAGGAGCAGTTGCTGGAGCAGCACCACAGCCCTATGCATCTCAGTAGTACTACTGGGTGGGGAAAGGGATGTTTCTTGTCTTGTGCTGCCCCCAGACAGACTGACAGCCCCCTTCCCAGGGCCCAGGCTTCTAGCGGTCTGTGCCCACAAGAAAGGTGGCAAGGCAGCTCTCTGCCAGTGCCTGCTGTTGCCATGGAGGACAGATTCCCAGGAGCTGAGCATAGTTGCCCATGGGTTCATTTGTAGCACGGACGAGTTTGGTGAGGAGCTTGTGCGCTTCCTACATGACATGAGGCTGAGACCCAACGCGCCAAGACAAACACTGGGCTGCTCAAAGACCTCTTGCCCAGTGGTCTGGTGACCTCACCTCCCTGCTTCAGAGCATCGCTCAAAGCTGGGGGATATCTCAAGAGTAAAAGCCAGCCTGGTTCTCCAGAGGTGCTGTTATATGAGATCGCTTGGCCAATAGCACTTCTCACGCAGGCAGGGACGTGCCCCACCGGCCGCACAAGTTAGTCCAGGACAGGCTCAATTCTGCTTCAGCTTCTTGGCAAGCAGCAGCAGCAGTGCAAGCCCATAGGAGAGGGGAAGGATGCTGTTGCAGGAAGTCCAGAGCAGACAGAGCATGGAG